TGTCGGCCGATGAGCTGAAGACGCTCAAAGAATATATCAACGACAACTTGGCCAAGGGATGGATCAGAGAATCCACGTCCCAAGTGGCAAGTCCAACTATGTGGGTACCCAAGAAGGATGGTACTAAGAGACTAGTTGTGGACTACAGGAAGCTCAACACGCTTACAAAGAAAGATCGATATCCACTTCCATTAGCTACGGAATTAAGAGATCGATTAGGCGGAGCAACAATATTTACCAAGATGGACCTACGAAACGGGTACCACTTGATTAGAATGAAGGAAGGCGAAGAATGGAAGACCGCTTTTAAGACAAGATACGGGCTATACGAATATCAAGTTATGCCCTTCGGGCTAACTAACGCACCAGCTACTTTCATGAGACTTATGAACAATGTACTGTCGCAATATTTGGACACCTGTTGTATATGCTACTTGGACGACATCCTAGTATATTCAAACAACGAGGTCCAACACATCAAAGATGTCAGCAACATTCTTGAAAGTTTAGCCAAAGCCGATTTGCTATGTAAACCAAGCAAATGTGAATTCCACGTTACGGAAACAGAGTTCCTAGGATTCACCGTATCAAGCCAAGGGCTCAAGATGAGCAAGGATAAGGTCAAGGCAGTGCTTGAATGGAAGCAGCCAAACACCATTAAGGAAGTACAATCCTTCTTAGGATTTGTCAACTTCTACCGAAGATTTATCAAGGGTTATTCAGGGATTACTACACCCTTGACCACATTAACCAGAAAAGATCAAGGAAGCTTCGAATGGACCGCCAAGGCGCAGGAGTCCTTCGAAACGCTCAAACAGGCAGTGGCCGAGGAACCAATACTGTTGACATTCGACCCTGAGAAACAAATCATAGTGGAGACGGACTCCTCGGATTTTGCTATAGGGGCAGTTTTGAGCCAACCAGGTCAAAATGAGAAATAGCAACCAATCGCATTCTACTCTCGAAAGCTATCACCAGCCGAATTGAACTACGAAATATATGACAAAGAATTACTGGCGATAGTCGATGCATTTAGAGAATGGCGAGTTTATTTGGAAGGGTCAAAATACACAGTACAGGTGTATACAGATCACAAGAACTTGGTTTACTTCACCACAACGAAGCAGTTAAACAGACGACAGGTCAGATGGTCAGAGACCATGGCCAATTACAATTTTAAGATTTCATATGTCAAAGGATCAGAAAACGCTAGAGCCGACGCTCTTAGCCGAAAACCAGAATATCAAGAAAATAAGTCGTACGAATCGTACGCTATATTCAAGAAAGAAGGCGAATCACTGGTTTACAATGCACCACAGCTCGCAGCTACGCATACATTGGAAGACAACCATCTCAGGATCCAAATCCAATCATATTACGACCAAGATGCCACAGCTATACGCATACGCAAGACAATAGAACCAGGATTCACAATAGAAAACGAAACTATATACTTCCACGGAAAAGTATACATTCCTAGTCGAATGACTAAGGAATTTGTGACGGAACAACACGGGTTGCCGGCACATGGACATCAGGGAATTGCGAGAACGTTCGCAAGATTACGGGAAATCAGTTACTTCCCACGAATGAGAACGATAGTTGAAGAAGTTGTTGGAAGTTGCGACACCTGCATACGAAACAAGTCATCACGACACGCTCCGTATGGTCAGCTCCAGACCCCAGACATGCCTTCTCAGCCATGGAAGTCCATTACATGGGACTTTGTGGTCAAACTACCACTCTCGAAAGACCCTACTACAGGAGTTGAGTACGACGCAATACTCAACGTAGTAGACAGATTGACAAAATTTGCATACATGATACCATTCAAAGAAACATGGACTGCTGAGCAACTAGCATATGTATTCTTTAGGGTCATAGTAAGCATACATGGAGTACCAGATGAGATAATCTCGGACCGAGACAAGCTCTTTACCTCAAAATTCTGGGCTACCTTATTAGCACTTATGGGTGTTAAGAGAAAGCTATCAACAGCCTTCCACCCACAGACAGATGGTCAAACAGAGAGGACCAATCAAACAATGGAAGCATATCTTAGATGCTATGTAAATTATCGACAAAATAATTGGGTAGAACTATTACCTATGGCACAGTTCGCATATAACACATCGGAAACGGAAACCACAAAGATAACACCAGCACGCGCTAACTTTGGGTTCAATCCTAAAGCATACCAAACACCGATGCCACAAGAAGTTAATGCCGAATCGGCAATAATACAAGTCGAACAATTGAAAGATTTGCAAGAGCAGCTCGCTCTTGACCTAAGATTTATTTCTTCCAGAACAGCAGCGTACTACAATACGAAACGTAGTATGGAACCTACGCTTAAAGAGGGGGATAAAGTTTATTTGCTACGACGAAACATCAAAACCAAAAGACCAAGCAATAAACTCGACCACAGGAAACTAGGACCATTCAAGATTGATAAGGTAATAGGAACAGTTAATTATCAATTGAAATTACCAGACACGATGAATATTCACCCAGTATTCCACATATCCTTGCTCGAACCAGCACCACCAGGAGCGCCTAATGCGCCATTTACGGAAATCGAACCAGTTAACCCAGAAGCCATATACGACGTTGAAACAATACTAGATTGCAAATATGTCAGAAGCAAGGTCAAGTATTTGATCAAATGGTTGGATTACCCACACTCAGAAAACACATGGGAACTTAAGAAGGATCTCAGCTGCCCTGAGAAACTACAGGCATTCCACCTGAAGTACCCACATCTGCCAACAAAGCCTCGAGCTCAGCGTCAGACAACGGAGGCAACGAAGGGTCGAAGAAGTCGAAGGAAGAAGAACCGCTAGGAACAGGCGCGCCTGCCTTTTCCTTTTCCAGTTTTTCATTTTCGACTTTCTCTTTCTCCAACCTTTCATTCTCCTCAGCCAGGTCAAGTTCCTCCAGCGTACGAAGATCGCGGCGAATCATTTCTTTTTCACGCTTGCGAAGGAATTCCTGTTGACGACGTAAACGAAGAATGCGAGCCGTCAATTCTTGAGATTTAGCAGACAGAACTTGCGACTCAGCAAAAGCCTTCTCCTCCTCCAGGCGAAGTTGCTCTTGCTGTCGCTCCAGAGCATCATATTGAGAGGGCATTGCGGGCCCAGGATGACAACGACCTTTCTTGAAACGAATACACGCGGAACAACGTTTCGACAGATCCTCGTCCACGAAACAATCACGACCAGTTTGAAGGCACAAAGCACAAGGTTCACGTTTGCTACCAGAACGGGCGACACGATTAGATAAAAAAGCGGGATCATGAATAGAGGTTGTTCGTGTAGGAGGCATAATGAAGAAAGAATAACACTCATTTAAAATGTATAGTTAGGTGGGGAGACCCCGCTATATAGACGCTTGGGACAAGCGCTAGTCTAGGAAGGGGATAGTGTTACGGAGGTACCCGCACCGCAACATGGATTATAAGATAAACCTAAGGCCTTGGTGTTGGGACCTACGAAAACAGCACTGTAGGGACAGTTGAATTAAAGGGTAACTAAAGATAGCGGTAACCGAATAAATAAGCAGTGATTAAAAGATAGGTACCTATCTTTTATTGGCACCTACCCCACAGTAGGCACAGGTTGCACAACGGTTACAGATTAGCTAGTAAGCACAGGTTAAATAAGCGGTAGCCTTACCAGGTCACGAGGACAAGTGTCACGTGAAGGAAAGTCGATTCGACTTGTCGACTCGAGTAGTCGAGTAGACTTGACGATTCGATCAAAGTACGAAGGTCTATATAAGGGAATGGGTTTCATTACAATGTAGAGCTTCGTGCTCAAGAACAATCATTAGTTTCATTACTATAGTTACGAGAATTGCAACCAGTTACCAACCTTATTGAATTCCTACTTGAAGTTTAGTCTAAACCACCTCGAGAGAACTCTAGACACTTCCACGTGACCCTAGAGGCAGCTCCCGTAACATTGTTTTCTTGAGATAGTTTTACTTTTATACAATTAAAAAAATATAGATCAATTAATTTTAAAGAAATTAATTATTTAGATGTATTTAGAAATTTGAACTCCTTTTAAATAATTTAATGTAAATTTTATATAAGTCTTTAAAGATATATTATTAATATTTAAAGCTATAATGTCGATATTTTTAAAGTTGTACATATAGTAGGAACGTACATGTAGTGGGGAAATCGATTAATTTAGTTAATTAATTTGAAATTTTCAAGTCTTATATTCTCTTTCAGATTTCTTTTATTCTTTAATATAATGGAAATTTACTTTTTAATTAATTTTAATAAATCAAATTTAGTTTACTATTTGAATTTCGCTTTTGCTTTTCGATATAATTTAAATTTATTAAATATATTAATTACTCTTATAATTTGTATAATTATATATAAATAGATTAAATTTGAAATGAATACCTATAGAAAAGATTATTAAGAATAAAAAGCTAAGAATTCAAAGAATAGATTTTGATTAGTTAAAAATCTATATAAAACTCATTAAATGTTAATAATTCATTAAAATAAATTTAAAAGTTTTCAGATTTGTAAATGTCTATTAATAGTATTAATAATATTAATAACAAAAGAAAATACTAATCTAAATAGATATATAATATATAATAAGATTGATATCAAGGCCCTAAGGGATATGACTAGTTTAATGATAACTATGTTAATTCTAATAAAATCCATTTTTCTAACATCTGAACTCTCAGCGGCTTGAGAGTGGGTCAGATTGAGTGGGTTGGCCTGCTTTACTTTACTAGAAATACATAGAGACCCACATGTAGGCCTTATTCAGCCACATTAAGGTACTTGTTACATTCAAATTTCTTTCTTTTTCAATCCTGAGCGTTGGGTATAGAACGAGGGGAGTCAACAGGAAGAAGTATTGTTCTAGAATTCAGGACTATTACGCGAAGAATGATTGTGAATTTATGACTGATAAAAAGAGCGGATCCATCACTTCCTTTTATATCAAAACAAGGGCCAACGTTATCATTAAGGAATGACTATCTGTGCTCTATCTCCACACAATATCGAAGAATACCCGCAAGATGTCAGAAAACAGAGCTTCGGGGAGTATGTTAAACAAATGGAAAACCAAGAAACCTTCTCCCATTCTTGATGATCGTCTTCATTTTGCAATATTTTCCAATGAATCACTAGGCTGGTCATTATCTCATTTCTTATGAGTTTCTCTGATCATTGCTTCACTTTCCTTTGCACGTTTTAGCCTGCCGAGATGGTGACAGAAGCTTCAGACAAACAAGTTGAAATTCTGATCATTACATTGCTGTTCTCTGGGATTGCGTGTGTGGCGGTTGCTTTACGATGCTATGTTCGAACTAGATTGTTGAAGGCATTTGGTGCTGATGATGCCATTGCAGTTTGCTCTTTGGTAATATCTATCACGTAGGGTCACACAGAATATCTACTGACATCACATAGCTACTTTTGTTCGTTGGAGTTGTCTTTACCATGTTAGGGATTGATTCGGGGTTTGGGAGACATATCGATACCATGACGATGGAGCATTACTTGCGTGGATTGAAAGTATTCTTCTCATTACAAAGTCATGGCTTTGATTTTTCTGACATCTTTGTTTAGTGGTGGTGTCTTTCGGAAATCATTTACCCTCCTACTATAGCTGTTATCAAGATATCCATCGCTCTTTACCTCGTCCGCATAGCCGTGAAGCCAATTCATATATACATCATTTATGTCTCAATGACAATTTTTCTATTGTACACCACAGCTTTTTTCGCCTTTTTGTTGCTTCACTGTAGACCGATATCATTCTACTGGAGGCGATTTGAAGGAGCAACCGATGGGCATTGTTTAGATGCCTCTACGATAGCCGGTATGGCATACGGCCATGGAGCCGTGAATGTCTTGACAGATTTTACTCTGGGGATAATTCCGGCGTTTATTGTGGCGGATCTTCAAATCACGACAAGAACAAAAGCAGCGGTCGCAATGACTTTAGCATTAGGTTCCATGTAAGCGACGTTGTTCATTTTTCAAATCGATAGAAGTTGCTTCAACAGAGACTGACGGATTATCAGTGCTAGCGTGTGCACCCTCACAAGAATCGCATACATTAACGATCTTTTGCATACCAGCGATTATCTTTATTCAATAGCGTATGTTGCCCCTCGCACATCATTTCCCACTTACAGCTTCACGTATTAACCACATATCAGTGATGTTATTATCCTCTCGATTGTTGAAGCAGCTGTCGGACTTATAGCCTCCTGCTTAGCGACACTCAAGCCTCTCGTCCGCTCATTCCTTGACTGGTCTGAGAAATCCATCGGATCAACTGGAGGCCTTCACACGCGCATGATGGATGGAATGAATCGAAGACGAACAAAAATGTACGACACTGAACTAAATCTAAGGCCCGATCTCGCCATTGTCGGATTCACGACGACAGTAATATCGAGTAACGGACGAGAATCACCACCTCTACACCCGAGTATAAGTCAAACTATGGATGTCAAGAGTGACGTGTGGCTTAGTCCGAGCTCTTATGGAAGTCCCGAGTCATATAGGAGGTTGGAAAGTGGGAATGGGGACCAAGCCGTGGTGCCGGCTTGTCAAATAAAGTAGATATCAATGGACGTGTATGTACCACTTTTCCACACGATGAATTTCATTTTATCCGACTTGAGTTTCATGGTTCTTATTTAAATTGTATAATTGAGCTACCCCAAGGTACATCGACCAACCAAGTTGAATGCCTTATGATGAGAGGTTAAAAAGATTTGAAGCCTCATGGTCGGACACATGAACAAGGTACGCTCAGATCATAACAGAACAGACAGGGTTAACATCTAAAGTTCTTCCTTCGTTCTTTCAGCTGATAATTGATACTAAAATTACAGCTCATTAAGTAAATACTATATCCGAAATCCGCCAATGGCTGCTCTCCAGCTCCTACCATGTGCCCATCCCGACTTCCAACTTCCAACTTTTACCCCAACTCCAGAACTTTACAAACAAGATACCTCATCTCTCTCCATCACCTAGATCATCCCTCTCGGTGTTCTCGCTGATCTCATTTGCCTCAATACAATGGCTACTTTCCTGCTCAAGGCAGGAACTAGCATAAAAAAAGCACCAACGCTGCACATGCAAAACTAATCAATATAACCATCGGATCACTAACATCTTTCAGTTCTTGATTTCCGTCTTGACTCGTGTCGATTCCTCCAAACACAGGCATTGAAGCTGTACTGGTCATTGATCTACTTATCGATGTCACCGAGATTGTTTTCACAATCGAACGCGTGGTCTGGGTGGGGGAAGGAATAGCAACGGTTGATATGACCGAACTGGCAGATCCAGGTATACTGGCTGGTGATGGAGAGTTTATTGAAGTCGAGGGATCCGGGCCCACGTCAGATGACGTTATGGGGTGCAAGGTGGTCATAGATGAAACGACTCCCTCCGTTGTCCATACGTTTCCCATACTTTCACAGATACCATTGAACATATCAACTGTCGAGACTAACCCTGCAATCCCCCTTTCACTTTGCGCAAATTGTGAACAAGTCTCCATAGCATTATCAAAGGACTTTGGGATCCAAGATGCGACACTCGCGTAACACAGGCATGAAGCCTGTTGAGAAGGACTCAAAGCTATAAACCCTGGAACCAGGCCAACACAAGATTGTATCAGAGATAAAGCAGTATTGCAAGCTGGTATCACACTATGTGTTGTCGGAGTCTGAGTTGAAGATTCAAAAGTCGAAATAGAAGAGATAGTAGCAGGCTCCTTTGTCGTCATTATATTTCCAATATTACCGCAGAATCCCTCCAAGTTAACAAATGCCGGGTATGCGCTTAGCACGGCTGTACTTGCAAAATCGGCACAAGTCTGTACCGCTTTGTCAAATATTGTCGGAACCCATTTCGAAGAATCATAACACAGACATTGTGCTTGTGCTGATGGGACAAGAGAGGTAAAGCCGGGACTGATCGATTCGCATTTGAATAGTGTGGAGCTAACTAAGGCACATCCGGGGTTCTGTTGAAGAACTGAAGCTGGTGCAGTTGTTGTGAGATCATTTCGCGGTCGCATGGAGTTGACTTGGTAGGTATTGAGCAGTAGAGAAAGCAAGAGGGGTAACTTGAGTCTCATTGAATAAAAGTTCTGCAATCGTGTGTCGTTCAAAGTCGCGGTTGGTGGAGATGCAATTGACTTGGTTCTTCGAAGGTTCAAAAACAAGACGCTGATCTTTCAGGTGAAGGGGGCGCATTCAGTCGTTTCTCGAGCCCGATTTGACTCCGTATAGAGGGCAAGTTGATTGTTCGAGTAGATGAGATTAAACAAGTTGTCCAAAGGGAGAATGAATCATCTCGAAATGTTATTCTTGTGGATGGCTGTAAGTAAACCTCCAAAGGCAGCTCTTTCCTTTTGGAAAACTGCACGCATGTCATATACCATTCAAGAAGTCGCGATTTGGTAGTATTCACCTGGCCGTTCCTACTTGAGAAGGGCCTTTCATGTTGACATCACTTCCATGTTAGCTAGCTTGAGTTGAAAGAATAAAAACGATAAGCAATTGGTACTTGATGTTCAAACCTTGAGTGTAATAGAATAATATTCATATTTATATGATCTCGTGATATCACTAACAATCAATATTCATAGCAGTCATTTCCCTGCTTTCCGCATCCAGCTTCTCGCTTCATACTTCGTCCCACGTCTTCAAGAAGAAAATGAATATGTACATACAAAATACCATGACCCATAATTCCAACCCAGGCCAACCTTGGGACTTTCCAAGTCTCCTAGCTCATCACTTCATGCGACGCCGATTCCATGCCATAAGATATAACTTGCGCCTAAAATCAGAGATATTTTCCATTGGAATAAGATGCACCTGTGCCATCCCTTCCCCATTCTCGATGTCGAAATGACTTGTTCCCTTGCGAACCTGGCCATCTACCTAGTCGACCATCCACATTACTCAGTCCTATAAAACTTTCTGTACAACAAATGCAAGAATAGATTAACATTTAACCTCATCGCACCCTCAAACATATCCATATACTGATGGTTTGCGAATTGTGCAGCAAGAAGTGAGTCCATAGGAACCTGAGCCATTGCACCAGTAATGACAATGCTGCCTTTGCTACCCTCGATGGAGAATACACCAACTTGATCACATGAAATTGTAAGATTGATCTTATCCCATTCACGTTCGGGGTATCCTTTCCAGGCGACCAATACACCTTTATCCGATAAAGTTCGAGCCGAATATTTGAAAGAGCCGAATTTGTATGTACGACCAGTACGCTCGAGTTCCTTTTCGTGGTTGTATTGTTTAGAGAAAGGCATAAGGAAACGTTTTTTCCTGTTCAATCAATTATTAGCACATCATCAAGAGTGTAGAACGAATCTCATACCCTTTTTTCTGCAGAGTCATCATAGCTTGTTCGATGTAATTATCGTAACTCTTCCTCTGTGACTCAAGCCAATCCGCCTTCTCGCCCAAATTCCCTAATGTCATCTTAACACCTTCCAATTCTCTTTGTCTCTGAACACGACGTCTGCTTTTGGTACGAATGTCAACAGCGATAGCATTAAGGATGTCCTGGTAAAAATTTTGTCTTGAGATTCTTCCAAGTTGCTCAAGTCTCATGATGTTCTCCAGAGCAGTCCTCTTCAGTTCCCAGTATGACATGGATTTTATGTCTGTTAAAGTATTGACATCAGAGTATGCTCCACGAGTCTTGCTGTCTGCCGAAAATTCCTCCCGTAGTAAATCATGCCACTTTTGGTCATCCTCTGGTGTTATCGGTCTCACCAAGATTTCCATGAGGTTTGGACCGGATTGGACTCGAATGATATACAGAATACATCGCTTGGTCTCCATAAAGAGCGTTTTCACTTCAGCTTCGGGATCATCCACGTCATGAAGTTTAGGACTTAAAGTCATTTGAAGTTCGCCAGAGGAGCCACCTAACATCTCGGACTCGTTGTTCTTGGCACTGCCGAGTTCTTGAATAATTTCTCGAAGGACATCATCGCGGTTTGGACAGATTTGTGGCAGCTCATCACAAATGAGGTTGTGAATTGCGAAAATATCGGCCATCTTGATATAAAGTGTAGGTTTCGTACGAGCATACAGATCATTGAACTCGTCAATATCGAAAGTACTTTCCGCATCCGGCACTGAGATAATATTGGAAAATATTTCAGTGATTCTGGTAATGGCGTCAGTGACGTAGGCGTTCAACGGCTGCAAGAACATATTCTCGCCACCAAACAACCGTCCCGATGAGATCTGGCCAAGGACTTTGGCAACTTCGCCTAAATTGCGCTTTTGCAGTGGGGTGAGTTGTCTTTCGACTACACCCATAGACTCAGGAGTGGTCAAAGCTGGGAATAGGTAGAATCTGAAGAACCAATTACCAACAACTTGTAGAAGATTTAGTTGTGGTTCTCGTGGAAATTGCTGGCAAAGTCCTTCAAAGATTTGCTGGCAAATAAAGCGAACACCATAAGGCATTCTATGCAGAAGACTTTCTAAAGCAAGCATGAAAAGATCTGAAATCTCTCTCAAGTCTCTTAAATGATCAATAAACATATCTCGAGTTTCTGGATCCTTGATTGCTTGATCTCGAGGAATCTCTAAAGCTCTTTGACTTGGTCTACCTGTTCGAAGCTCTTCGTTGTTGATAGCCGAGCGGTAAATTTGCATTGGATCACTCTCAAGGTCGAGCGCGGGATCCTCGATGATATTTTCCGTAATGAGAGGACCCAACAGATCACGAAGAAATTTTCGGTCTCGAGGAGACCGGGTGTAATTAGCGAGGAGTTTTGTCCAAAAGAAATTGCCGCGGAGTAAGTCTTGCGTTGAGGCGAAGTGTTCGATTTCTACTCTGGCAGAGCGAGCAATTAGTTTAAGCAAGTAGTACTCCTCACGGCGCTTTTGCGCATATCCAAACAACCCCATCATTAAGGTCTCGATGCGTTTGCAGTCTTTTTCGGCAGTACCCTGTTCTCGGATTATTTGGAATAACCGGGCAAGGTACTGAGATTGGGTTTGTAAGTTGAAAAAGAGTTGTTGATACAAGTCGAGCTTCTTCCTCGAATTCTTGTTAAGAGCTTTCAGATCAAATTGATTCCCTGAAGCCATGGAACTATTGACGAGGATGTTTCCTGAGTGTCCGCCAAAATTTCGCTGATGCTTGACGACTTCATCCAGTGTGATCTTATTCTTCACCAAAAGGGCAATCTTAATGTCCAATTGATCGATATATTGCTCTGCCAATTCGTTTTGACGAACTTGCTGTACAACAGTTTTTCGCATACGCTCAAACTCAATTTCCTCATTGAAATCGAAATCACTATCATTGAGAAGATGGACGAAGTTCTTAACGGTGTTGACAGGGGGGTTCTTTCCAGTTGTCAAGCTCTTGTAAGCCTCGCCCTGTAAACGCCCACGAACAAAACTTTGGATCTTCACAACCTTTTCCATATTCTCCTTGAAGAAACGCTGCTTCTCTAAATATGCGGCTCGGACCAAAGAAGCCTTGGCTGCCGATTGTACTGCAACAATGAAATCTTCTTCAGATTCTAATTCTCCCAATACCCCTTCGATGTCGTTACGAAGTAGTACAGCACGTGACAAGGCCTGGAGTTGTATGATTTCTTCTTCATTCGCCTGAAGGTCATCCAAGATCATTTCCGTTTTCTGTCTGACCATACCAGCTCTTATCATAGACTGTAGATCCGTGATTGTCGAGTACTCTGTGACAAGGATGTCATAATCATCCTCAATTGAGCGTCGAACAAGCATAGCACGAATTAAGCTCTGAAGCTCTACTATTGCCGATTCGTCTGCTTCTAAACCTGACAAAGTCTCTGTGACATCACGGCGAACTGCTCCGGCACGAAGAAAGGCTTGAAGGTTTGATATGCTTTCAGAATGACTCTTCAAAGCTTGTTGTGTATCAAATACTTCAAGTCTAAGAGCACCCGCCCTGGTAATTGCTTGAAGCTTTTCCCAGATAGGTGTACATGCATGTAATGCTTCCTGCTGTTGAGTGATCTGGTTTCTCGTCAGCAAGGCCCTCGCAAACCCTTGAATAGCTGTAACTGAAGGTTCTTCGCGATAAAGATCTTCTTGATCATCTGCAATATTTTTTCTGAGAATCATTCCCCTCATTGCAGCCTGCAAATTCAACACTGGAGTAGAAACAGCTTTGGATGATGTTTCTTTTTCTTGAGCTACCATCATCTTTCTCACAAGCATCCCTCTCATTGCTGCTTGCAGATCCGAAACCGAGGTTGACACGGTGTAAGAGTTCATCTCTGCTTGTTGTGCCAAAATCTTCTGTCTCACAACCATCCCCCTCACCGCAGATTGCAAATCTGAAACGGATGTCGATATAGTGAGAGAGTTCAGCTCTGCTTGTTGTGCTAACATCTTCTGTCTCACTATCATGCCCCTCACTGCAGATTGCAGATCTGACACTGGGGTTGACACAGTAAGGGCTGACATGTCTTCTTCTTGCTCCATCATTTTCTTTCTCACAAGCATACCCCTGATTGCAGCTTGCAGATTCAGCACTGGGGTTGACACATTAACAGATCTGGCTTCCTTCTCCTGAGCCACCAAAACTTTCCGAGCAAGAAATCCACGAATGCTTGACTGAAAATCTTTGATAACAAATTCTGACTGCTGCAAAGCGGATCGCATCATGCATACCTCTTCTCGGACTTGTTGTCCAACCTTCGTAGCCCTGAATAAGCTTTGAATCTTCTGTACATCTCCTTCACGGCTTTTCCAGAATTTCTCTTGGCTCGATTGGTTCTTTCGTACTAAAAATCCGCGTGCATGGCTTTGTAGGTTCACTGCGAACCGTCTCATATTTAACCGATACTCCACGATTTGTCGCGAAAAGTCCCCACGGATCATCGATTGAAGCTCTACAAGCCAGTCTTCGGTATCCCAAAGTCCTTGCATTGTTCTTCCTAGGTGCATTCGCATACAAGCTCCCCGTATTTGTGCCTGTAACTCCACAATTATAGCTTCGTTCTCACCGAGCTCTCGATCGATTCGCTCCTCCTCGGTTTCGACTGGCTCAGGTTCAGGTTCAGGTTCTGGGACTCCAAAATCCGCTCCCATATTCCCAAAACTAGGCATACTAACTCCAGCTTTATCCAATCCTTTCTGCATTTCTTCCAATTCATGATCTTCAAATTCCAGTTGTCCAACAAGATTACCAATTCGAAAGTCCACAATTCCCTTCCTGAATAATAGCCAACTCAAAGCGTGTATACAATAAATGACTTTAGGAATGTTCTTCTTCTCGTATAAATCGATAAGTTCAAATCGAAATAGCTCGGGAAGTTGTACCTCGTCCAGAAATCGGAAGAACTGAGCGATATTGTCCCAATGTCGAGCTTGTAGTTTAGGATTCCTGAATATCCGTATGCGTTGTTCCGGGTTAACAGCCTCCACCACCTCTGCCAATGTGACCCCGTCTCTCAAAGTTTGTTCCAGTTGCACGGTTGGAGGAATTTCTCGCTTCAATATATCTTCAATCCATTCCTTGGCTTCTCCAATATGACAAAGATACTCATAAGCCTGTAAAAATTGTCGCTGTTTGTCCATCCAATTTCTACCTTCCCAACCATAGCCACCGATAGATTTGTTGAGGGTGCCATTTTTGTCCTTCGAAATCGCGCTGCGCTGCAGTCTACGTCGTCCCTGTAATCCTGCTACCTCTTGTTCTGGTGATGTAATGGTAAAATCGTCAGGAGTTGCGGACTGCGCGAATTTTGAGAGGGTTCGAAGTTGACTTGTCGAGGATCGTTCGAAGCTTTGTAGCTCAGGCCTAGTGAGAGGTGAATGGATATGCGTTGGGCCAAGCTTTGAGAGAGCTCCTGCTCCAACACTGATTGAATCGGAACGGCTCAACAACATGGAATTGGGTCGAACCATAGGTGGACGGCGCGTCGGACTGCGAGTCGGACTTCGAGTCGGACTTGTTGCGGGGCTCATGGGCGATTGGGCAGGAGACTCAAACAATGTTAATTTGGATACATCTATACTCTTTCCGCGGTTGTGGTGTTTGATAGATCCCTTCTGGACGTCTACACTTTGTGTTCGAGAATGCGGTTGAAAATTACTTCTGATGACATCGATACTCTTTCCGCGATTGTGTTGGGCTGGGGTTTTGTCTCTTTCTGGTGGACTTTGGCCTGGAGGTTGAGGGAGTGGTCGCAAAGACTTTCTGGCATTCTTGTACGCACTATCTGGACTCGATTCCATGCTCCCTTTCCCGTTGCGATTTTCTGAAGAGCTATACATCCCAGCGGCTTCACTTAAACCTCTCCTACGACTTCCGTACTCACTCGACGTCGTTGAAGATAGTCTGCTTGTGCCACTCGATTCATAAATGCTAGATGAATTGGAATAACCACTTGATGCTGTTGATGCGTTCGAAGGTGCCCTCTTTGTCGTATTTGAATTACCCGTCGTAACAGGGTCGATTTGTGTTTGGCGTAATAAATGACGGTACGACATTACGACAGCGGGACGAGACGAGAAGTATGGATCTCAGGCGCACCAAACAGCGAAGGAAAGGTAAGCGCAGAATGTTTCCGAGTCGCCGATCATTCACTAAAGATCTTTAAGAGTATGTCGCATGCGGTATCCGAGTTGCCTCGTCGGCTGCGCGTAGTTTCTTTGGAGGGGTACAAGAAGGAGAGATAATCGTGGTTGTTATAAGGAGTGTGGTTATGGTGAAGTTCCTTTTTCCCTCCAATGTTTATTGTTTACACCCTTCTCGAACAATGGCGTCCGGCGCGACGGATGGCAACGAAAGACCAGTTGGTATCGACTTCTGTTCCACTCTGGAAGTATGAATGCGGATGGATATTCAAAATCCCTATAGCTATTAAAAGAAGAATTGAAGGTTGAGCAATGTGGAAGGGATTCTTTTCTCTCAAGCCAACAGCATCCAATATTAAGATTATTCAACAGACAGACAAGCTGGAGGAGGTGATAGCAGAAGCAAAGGAAGTGATATTTCAGTAGGGTATAGTATTGTTATTGTTGTTTATGTTTATGTGTATGTGTATGTGTGGAGTGACGACTTCGTGGTAGTTGGGTATATGTGGTATCGTTATCGAACTGATAAAAGGAGTGGAAGGGATGATGGATGCAAGGAACAATGGATGTGATGGGATGATGGTAGGATCAGTGATATAATAAGTGTCTAACTGGAAGTCTTGTATTCGGAGATATTTAAATTAGGAAGGAGGGATAAAGGTAGGTTCGATGTTTCGATGGATCCAGAAGAGTACAGAGAAGAGCGAAGAGTGAAGAGTGAAGAGTGAAGAGTGAAGAGTGAAGAGTGCAGAGGAGTGAAGTTTGAAAATGATGAGTGAGTGAAGTGAAGTGAGGGGCTGGGGAAAAAAACGACGTTGAATTTCCATTTGTTGATCCGTGAGTGGAAGTGGAACACTTGATCAAGGTACACATGATGCTTACTAGGTAGAAAGGACATTTTACTATGTACAGTACCGGTGGGTGGTGGATATTGTTCACATCATCAGGCACCGAGCGAGCATTCACTCAATTCATACCTCACTGTTGAAATAGGGTTTTTTTTTTAACTCCCAATAAATTGCTTTTTCTGGATCCAACGCAGGGTTAATTTTTGTTTACATTCATTTCTTGCTTTTACACACTTCGCTTGGGTTGCTCCAGCAAAATAGGTTGACAACACAGAGAAGATATTAGCCAATAAAAATCCAAAGCGCTGAGAATAAATGCTTGTACCCAGTAGAATTCGTCCATTTCATTTCATTTTTGGGTTTTATAGAGGGAGAGCTCTTATTACAATGTAAGATTACTCCGTACACTTTATGGTGTCGGATCGGCCTTACCTTGTTCCTCGCTCTTTCTCACCTCGCACGTGCCTGAAAATGTGTAGTACCTATAATAATAATAAGGTTTGGACTTTACATGTAGTTATGGAAGATTGGAAAAAGTATTGGATCATCACATACAAATTATCATCAATCAAGGTTATATTATATCTACCTACCCAGGTACTGTATATGTACCATTACAATATATATATAACTTATATAATATCTGTGCAATATATGCACAATATTTTACCTTTGCTATTAGAGCGGAGCGAAGAAGCCTCCACGGCAGTGGCCAAGCGGAGCGTCATTTATCGATTATCTCCTGTGTACCTAGGTCTGCTCGATCTAATCTGATATTGCATTTCTCAACCATCCCCAGTCATCTATTTGAAGTCATCTCATTGCTCAATTCTCATTGTTCAATCCCCAATCCATACCTACCTACCTACCTACCTACAATGATGTACTCTTCTGGTCTGGCCATGCATTGAACTTTTCATATCTCCACGTGACTCTCTCTTATCGACAAGCCACTTAACCATTATTGGTCTAGTTCCTCAAATAATCCGTAATTTTCGCCCCGCATATTTCACATTCATAATAATTTTTCTCTTCTCTTTTTTTCCCTTTCTCTTTTTCCTCTTGGGAGAAGGAAACTTCAACCCGTCGACTGTACATTTTCATTCAAGAGATTTGATTTCATCGATCACTTCAATTTCTATTCTTCGTACTTCCAGGGTCGACTATCTCTTTGTCATCTTTTCCAATTTTTCTCTTTTCTTTGAATTCTTGATTCGAATTCATTTCCCTCTTACTTTTTCCCCGCACATCTACCCATACATCTTTACACCATGTCTCCTCAAGCAAACGGTGATTCCAAGCCATCTGCTTCAGACTTCTTGGCTCCAGCTAAGGAAGTCTTGGATGTCACAAAGGCTCTCGAAATCCTCAGGGAGTATGAATCTCGCGATGGTCTCAGCATCAATGATTTGATCGATTCCAAGAAGCATGGAGGTTTGACCTACAACGATTTCTTGGTTCTTCCAGGTTACATTGGATTTGCTGCTTCTGAGGTCGTTCTCGACTCTCCAGTTACCAAGCGCATTACCCTCAAGACTCCTTTCGTTTCTTCCCCTATGGACACTGTCACTGAACACGACATGGCCATTCACATGGCTTTACAAGGTGGTCTTGGTGTCATTCACCACAACTGCTCTGCTGAAGAGCAAGCCGAGATGGTTCAAAAGGTTAAGAGATACGAAAACGGTTTCATCCTTGACCCAGTCGTACTGAGCCCACAGGCAACTGTTGGTGAAGTTAAGGATTTGAAGGAGAAGTGGGGTTTCGGAGGATACCCAGTTACAGGTTCGTACCTCCTTTTCTCTCTCTCTTGCCCCTACCTGCACCTCTACATGATTATCAAAACACAATTCAAATAACTTTCGTTCATCCGTATTGACCGCAAGGTCGTGGGGAGACAATTACTTTTTATGATTTTTGGTGTTTCATCTTTACTGTTGACGGAAATGATCCTATCTTGCAGCCGCTAACATATCTGCACAAACAGAAACCGGAAAATTGGGCTCCAAACTTGTCGGTATCGTTACCAACAGAGATATCCAGTTCGAAGATGATAGCGCCTCGGTCTCGAGTGTTATGGTTACAGATTTGGTCACTGCTTCATACGGTACTGAATTGGTTGAGGCCAACGCCATCCTCGCCAAGTCCAAGAAGGGAAAGCTTCCAATTGTTGACAAGGACGGAAACCTCGTTTCTATGATCTCCCGATCGGATTTGAACAAGAATATCCATTACCCATTGGCTTCCAAACTTCCAGATTCCAAGCAATTGATCTGCGCTGCTGCTATCGGTACCAGACCCGAAGATAAAATCCGTCTTCAAAAGTTGGTCGATGCTCAATTGGACATTGTCATCCTTGACAGCAGTCAAGGTAACAGCATGTACCAAATCGAGATGGTTAAGTATATCAAGGAGAAATACCCTGATCTCGATGTTATCGGAGGTAACGTCGTTACTCGTGAGCAAGCCGCTTCATTGATTGCCGCTGGTGTTGATGGTTTAAGAATCGGAATGGGTAGTGGAAGTGCTTGTATCACTCAAGAGGTTATGGCTGTTGGTAGACCACAAGCTGCTGCTGTCTATAACGTCGCTTCATTTGCTGCTCGCTTCGGTGTTCCATGCATGGCTGATGGTGGTATCCAAAATGTTGGTCACATTGTCAAGGGTCTTGCTCTTGGTGCTACTACCATCATGATGGGTGGTCTCTTGGCCGGTACCACTGAATCTCCAGGTACTTCTTTCGTCAGTCGTGAGGGTAAGCTCGTCAAGGCATACCGCGGTATGGGTTCTATCGATGCTATGCAAGATAAGAAGGCTGGTGCTGGTGCCAAGGACAGCCAAAAGAGCAACGCTGGAACCGCCAGATATTTCTCTGAGGGTGACAGTGTTCTCGTTGCTCAGGGTGTATCTGGTGCAGTCGCACACAGAGGGTATGATGTCCATTTACTATTCTAGTTTTCCAATGCTAATAATCCATAGTTCCGTCACCAAGTTTGTTCCATACCTCGCTGCAGGTTTGAAGCACTCTCTCCAAGACTGTGGACAAATGAGTCTTCAAGCTCTTCACGAGGCTGTCGAGAAAGGTACTACACGTTTCGAATTGAGGACTGCTAGTGCTCAACTTGAGGGTGGTGTCAACATGGAGAGTTATGAAAAGAAGCTTTACGCATGATGTCCTTAAATAACGCTTTATGAGGAACATGAGCCTTGAATCTAGTCATCTGGACAGGAATTTGATTTTATGGAGTTTATCACCTGGCGTTTAAAATGGGACTACATCGTTAGTCTTTGGGTGGAGAAAGAATAAAATACATTACAAACACATGTTGCTATAACTATGATGAAGTGATGTTGACATAATGTGACACAAATTACAACATAGGACTTCTGGAAGGGACCTTACCGCCAAAACCAACCTGCTTTAGATGATGATATTTTGACTCTTTCTATCTTGTCACGATTCGAATTGTTGCCTCCAGCAATGACCCGCCAACTAACTCACTACTCCCTCCACTGTAAAGATTTTGCCGAAGTACTATTAGGTGCGAGTGCGGGTTCAAATGATTATCAATGATGGTATCAGAGGTTAACTAGGCCCATGAATTATCCAAAGGCTCTCTTGCCGGCCTCGGCAGTTGGCGTTTCTCAGTTCCGAATAGCATTCATCTAGTATCGACGCCTCCATGTCAAGGTGGGGTAACCTTCGTCGAATATGGCTCGCGTGGTCGACTTTGTGCATAGATCCTGCAATCACTACATCGTGCTACTATGTGAGTCCCAAGGCTACGGTACCTAGTGGTAGGTAGGTAGTGATGAGCGCGCTACCCGACAGAAGAGAATTCTTCTCAGAATTGAATTTCACCTTACTTTCTACAAGGAACTTCAGGTGCTTTATGGGAGAATTTGCGATAGGAACAGTAGCATCCACTCGAATAAAATAAAAATCTGACGCCTTTATACGCCATCGCTGGCAGCAATTGGTGGTCTCGAAGTCGGTAATGGAGTGATTGATGCTACTCACACCTTCTACGCGGATGTCGAACATTCATACAGAGCTGGATTGAGGGCTTGAGAAACTATCAAAGGTATCCTTATACGGATTTGGATGACGATGAACATTGTCTTTCTCCAGCGGAGCAAAAAAAAAAAGCAAGTTGGAAGAAAACCAAGGATTAAAGTGAAGGTGGTGGAGGCGTCGTCGCTAAACGCCAAAGGCTTCATGGTGCTTGGTAGATGTAATACTATGTGCTTCGCTTTCTCCACTATTGAGCCATTGCTCTAATGAATCCCTAGTCATTTCAATGCAAAGATCTACGTTGTATGAATCACGATTTAAAGATGAAAATGAAGATAATTTGGATAGAGAAATGTGTACAATACGGAACAGAAAACTATTTATCTACGTAGGTACAACGAATTATTTCCAAGAAGAAGCCGTTCGCAAAGTCTAAATTTTCTTGAATCTCGACCTGGGCAGCACATGATCCTTTTGAAGTTCGTCGGGCCTACCTTCTTAGATCCCCTGGAAGATTTTCGACTTGAAAGCTTTCAACATCAAAGGTTTCAAGGTCGAAAGTGTAGGAGCCGATAAGTAGTCACTAGAAACATCATCTGGAAGAATAAACACATATCTTACTTTGATGAACCTAGTATCCTCGGGGCCAAATATATGAATGGGTTGGGGTCTACCAATCTTAACATCGCCGTCAGGATGAGTTTCATAATCCCAATCTGGTTTTCTCGTTTGTGGAAGCTCACAAGCTAACAGAACCCCGCAGTACGAGTAAAGATCTGGTTCGCGCCATGACTCAATGGTTCGACGTTCCACGTAATAGTAGGAACTCGCAGGCTCCTCTGCCATGAAGAGAGTGGAAATCTTATCATCGATGAGTTCGCTTTTCGCTTCAAGGCCATTTAAAAGAATACCTGGTAGATGCGCCGGACTCGTGCCATGGAAGAGCACCATTGGCCCTGTTATCTCATCATTGGGGTTTTGGGATGTATCAGGGGAGTACTTCGATGCTTGAGTAACCACAAACTGACGGACAGAGTTTGGAAACCCGGATATCATTAACTTACTATTCGCTGGGATCAAGTATTCTCCGTAGTTTTCAGAGAGATGCTTTACGAGCTTCAAGCACCCAGGTGCTCTTTTTAAAGTCTCTGCTATCTTCCGCTTGGATTTCATATTTGCAAAATTCTTGGGGAATCCCTCCGTAAAGTCGTCAAAAGTTATGAATTGGAGAGAGTCAGGGAAACTTATCTTATCATGATTCCGTAGCACTGCATTAGCATAAACTGAACTGAGAAGCAAATCGATGGCTTCAGGATTCAATTTGATGGCAGCAGCAATCTCAAAGATAGGTCTGGGCATTGAAATATCGTCAACGTCATTTTCTCCTTCCTTCCTATTCCATATCCAAACGCTAAAATCGAATTAGTATCTTCAAAAAGTGGCGAAAACCTTCATCCTCCTAGCTGAAAAGCTTGTAACTTACACATCTTTCAGAAGCAGATTGATACAATCTATTCTGGTCAATCCATCACCATCATGAATCAACTCTTCATTCTGGACCGTTTCGCGTAATTCTGCTCCTGTCATTCTCCACCATCCTGCAATCGTATTGATGAGAACCGGATCGAGAAGCATCCCTGGTTTCAGATATCCAGTTTGATAGAGAGCGTAAACGGCTTGAAGAATAGGCTTCAAAGAATGACGATAAAAATTGACCTTAGAAGCGGCGAGCTTACGAAGTAGTGTTTTCTTTGTGGTGGTCATGGTGTTCAATACCTTGCTGAGACTAGGTGCTGAAGTCATTGTTGCTTATGATAATAGTCGAGGTGAGGTAAGAGATTAAGTAGATGCTGTTGTTGAAGTTTTCGAATGCTTTATACAGGCTTTGTCGAGGGACTTGAGATGAATGGAATTGTTGACTCGATGATACTTCATTGGAAACCATCCTTTCTTATACTTATCCATGGTAACAGATAGATACTTTGTCTCGAGTATGGAATGGAATCGATCTATCAGCGAGATTCGTGCAAAATCCGCACATGTTTCAACGCTAGAAAACTGCATCAACAATGGGAAATGTTTCAGCCATCTACAATGCGCACCCTTGAGCATCATTGAGAATTGTGTAGTCTATTCCAGTAAATTAACTGAGGACTTTGCTACATCAAATCAGATCATTATCAAACTCGAAGCGAACAGATACGCCATGAACTTCATGATCAAAGAAATAACTGCAGAGTACAGAACCTGCTCACGAGCATGAGAAGGGATCAAGTCTTCCTTCTCTTCGTTTCTAATCTCGTATCTTGTTTATTAGCATATATCTAATTCCAACATAATCTTCCGTTCTCATCTGGAATAGCATCGTTACTAACCACACTAGCAACTTCACTTCCAGCTTCCGTCTTGGTCCAGAAGAATGACCATGGATCAGTCGCATCCTTAATGCTCAACAATTTATCGTAATTCACACCATAGAAGTTGTGTTGCCAATCTACCTCTTCAATATCACACTCTCCAAGATATGCTCCAGTGCCCGGGGTAACAGCTTTCCACGCGAGTTAAAGTTCGCTAAGCTTAGTCCGAGCGGAAGCCATAGTGGTAAAATTGGTAGGATCCGTCCACGACGTACCTTGCAAAGTGTGAAGAGTAGTCTTCCTCCAAGCGGGCAAAACAGCATTCTCAACCCCTGCGACATTTGGTGCATTGATATTGAAACCTACGAGTAATGAAGCATTAATTCCCGATGAGCTTGACCAAGCATCGAATATTGCGTTAAATTTTGCTTCATCCTCGAGATATTCCTGTAGAAAGAGCCGGGAACCAAAAATAGCGTCATCAGAACCAACAGTTTCTTGAGCAAAAGATGCATCCCATCCTTCGTATAGTGTATCATAGGTATTGTATACTGGTGTAAAGCCTATGCCGAGTGCAGTGAGTTTTCCGAACCAAGGTGCCAACAAAGCTCCAGTATCGGCTTGGGTGTGATTTGGAGCCCAGAATGGAGACATGATGAAATAATCCACTCCAAAAGCTGAAGGGAGAGAAACGAAGAAGTAGCTGTAGATCCCGGCTTTATTGAAGGTGGTAAAGCTCTCCCAATAAGCACGCACACCGAGCCAGAAAGCATCATCAGTAACGGTTCCACCAGAGGCGAATGTAAAAGTTACAACTGCGACGGGAGTTGTTGGGTAAGCTTTGATTATGAGAAATGTCGCCACACCCCATGTTGCGGGACCACCTCCACGTAAAGCTCAGAAAAGATCGGTGTTTTCAGTAGAGGATGCAGTGACAAATCGTCCATCGGCTGTGAACATACGAGCAGAGATGACCTGATCTGCAGCAAGATCATAGACTGAAGTCATGGGACCATGTCCTCTACCTTGATTGTGACCTCCCAGAACTCCGACATCTCTTGCTTCGCCGCCAACAACAATCATTCCCTGCTCGCTAGCTACTTTCATGATATCTACACCAACAACACCACTTCCAGATGTGAAGGCGGGTCCAGTGTAAGGGAAATCCGCATCGGTAAATTCAGCACCCTTATATCTAATGTCTTGCAACCAATGTGTCCAAACACTCAAAGCACCTGCAACACCATGTCCTGTATTCTTGATCACGATTCTGATGCCAGTATTTCTTGCAAAATTGACGGCAAGTTGTATTTGTGCGACATTTGTGGCATTGACTGCGTAAGCGGGGTAAGCGGGGTAAGCGGGGTAAGCGCCAAGTGTGCAGGTTGCTGTTGGGTCGGTCGTAGGCATGCACGTTAAACCTTTATATATTGGAGACATCATGGATGTGGGATCCTCTTCGTGCATAGTAGAGTTAGTCCAACTATCTGTGACAGAGGCACATTTATCTGCGCTCTATACAATCTATTAGTATCATATCGTTTGAAGAAGCAATTTGATCAAGTAAGTAATGTTGAAGGTAAATTTGAACATTGAAGACAACATTCATTTGGGGGAATCGCGTTGGATGTTCCACCTTGTTTCATGACTATAAGTATAAAAGTAGACTCACATATTTTCAATCATTATAACAGCTTGATGCGATTGGTATTTTTAATCAATACACCGCCAACTAGGGCATCCCAAACATCATCCGCAGGCAATTCCGCATCTCCAGGAAACACTTTACAAGCCGATCTTGAAGAAGCAATGCTTGATGCATCTACCGAAGAAGCATTCCCAAATGCAAAAAGCGCTTGCAAGGAAGCATTGAGGTGTGCGAGATCTGAAGTTTTCAGCTGGATGGTCTCAAAATCAAAGAGTGCTATTGAAGAAGTGCCATTCTCTTGTCTGCGAGCATTTGTGGCAGCAACCAGGCCAGCGTTAAAAGAAACATGCTTGTAAAAGAGTGAAGACTTCATCTTGACTTTGACCACTCTGAGATAATCTCAGATAGGAGAGAATAATGGAGATGATGAAGGTAAACTAACGAAAGCTACAATAGCGATGAAGTGAGGGAAAGGACCTACGAATTATCGGGATCAACTTTCCTTTTCATAGTGAAGACGAGATTCGACATGGAAACCAAACAATATCAACGTGTGGGTTTTCACGATTTGTGTGGAGTAGTCGTTCGGAGTTTGGTAAGGGTAACCGAGTCCCAATGGAGATGAACCGCCTCATAGTGTGGCAAGAAACGGCGAAAACATCAATACATGATGCTGGATGATGGCAACATATGTTCGAGAAATAAAGAGAGTGTGTGAATGGATTGCAATCACAGATGAGGAGCAGTATTTGTTTGTCGGTGGTGTTCATCTGAATGAAGGGTGAGAAAAGAGCTGCGAGCGACTAACAAACATGGATATGCGGGGCTAAAAGTATTCATTTGGTATGATAGCCGTGAACACCCTCGAGACACCTTAACGTTGGGAATCTAGAGGTGGATATATGTCCGTTCTTAGTGGAAATGCTTTTCTCATGGCTGCAAAGATCGTTAAGGTAGAATGGAGCTCCCGCCTAGTTAGTCTCGATCGTTTATTTTTCGGTTGTGCTCTAAGGATGGAATAGAAGAAGAACCAAAAGACATATGTCTGTACCCAAGATATTAAAGATATATTTGACATAAGCACGTGCATATGCGGTGTGATTCAATTCTTAATCCTACAGAGAAGATTGATTGTCCCCAAATGCCTTGGAGACGACGCCTCTTCCGTTGACGGTTCCTCCATTCTTCCAATTCTCGTCGAGGTGACCGAAATCTAGACTTGCTTTGGCTATTTTTTCAACAGAAAAATAAGCAACTGAGCCGTCTTAAGGGTCAGGGGCGGGCCGGTCGAAGCCAAAAGCTTAAGATTGTGGATAAATTAAACTGAGTAGTATTGGTCGGGTTCTCTCAGGGTTCCTTCCGCACCCTACAGGGCTTAAAATGAGCCTTCGGCGACTAGCAACAGGGAGTTATAAGACAAAATCGCAATTAGCTCCCGCTCTCTACGCTAAGGTCGTTCTCAAGCCGCACTCTCTCGTCCCCTCAACAATAGACCTCACGCAAGGATCGACGGGTAGCACGGGAATTGGTCAGAGCGACAAGGGCAGATCCAATCATTCTTAGTCTAATCGTCGCTTTTCCGACGAGCGTCCACTAGTGGGTGCATGGACTCACGGGACAGTTTGTAAGTAAAGTATAATTCTATATCAAAAAGGCCGATTTTTATATTTCAATTATAATTCAATCTTTCAATAAATCCTCTTGAAACTAACAGTGATAGTTTATAAGTATAAGAATTTTATATTGTATAAAAATTAATTGAAAAAATTAAGAAGTTAAAGCTTTATAATTGAATATATAATCTCTCATTAACTTTTTTTATAAAAATATATAATATTAAGCTTTTTAAAATCAAATCTCAAATGTTTCAATTCTTTTTTGAACATATTGTATTTTAATATTTAATAAATCTAAAATATCTATTCAAAAAATATTCAATATATTATTGAATTTTGATTGAATTTTGATATGAAATTATACTTTCTTCTTAAGTATCCCGTGAGTCCGTGCACCCACTGGTGGAAACCTCTGAATGAGATCCAACCACCATCCAGTGGTTGTTCTTCCGTCACTTACGCCTGTCATATCACCTCATCCGCTCGATGGTGCAATTATCATAGCTAGCTTTCACTATTGCCCACTCAGTCGATATTGCTTCACGGATAATGCAAATAAGCCGCCTGAGAATCGTTGCCAAAGACACAAGGTATTGTTAATGTTAGGTATCTCTGTCAAGCACGTTAGATATCACTTCAATAGTCAAAAGTATGGAAGCCAAGGCATGGAATTTGGACTCGTTTGTTGTCTTTACTTGATAAACCCTTTCTTCAGCGGGATTGAAGTTCTCAAACGGCTAAGGGCTTATCCTGCAGATCCCACTTCCCCAGCACTCACCCCTGATTGTATTACCCTTCTTGAACCTCACTTTCTAGCATCTAGAAGACTAAAATAGCATTTACTCGATACCAAATATTGTAGGGTAGTTTTGCTAAGAACTTCAGGAGGGTCCCAACTCAAACGCGTGAAGGAACAGATTTGTGAATTTTCACCGAGATCTTCTATTAGCGACTAGAGTCCATACATCAATATATGATGTTATCCAACCCATATGTTCTAAACTGATCGAAGCACCCTTGATGAACATTCAGTCTAGTGGAGTACCTTTTGCGAGGTACCATTTTTGTCTTTTACAATGGTCAAGCAATTGAACACCGCATGTTTGGTCATCATCGTTGTTTTTGAAGCTGTTGGCTCAATTTTCTGCTTTGGGCGTCTAGCGTCAAGGTTAGTATCAAAATCACAATGGAAGGGATTGATGATGTGCAGTGAGTCTTCTGAAGTTTTGCCTATACTGCTTGGTCGCTAAAGACTTTTTTAGGTGATATCTGTATGGTTATAGCTTGGGTAAGACATCACTGAGAATTAAGGGTTTCATCTGAAATTGAGGCTAAGAAAAGTATAGGTTCTATCGGTTGTGGAAACTGTTGCTATATACGGACGTGAGTATTTCTTTCCGCAGATTTCTGGGAATTCTTTGAAATCTAGTCTTCGCAATGTCTCTTCGCACACACCTGAAGTACTTGCTATTTGTATACAATATCTGCAAAACTGCGGAAGGGTTTCTCAACTCAGTCTATATGATGAAGTTTGATCCAATCATGCTAACCTGGAAACCAGTAACATCGTACGCGAAATATGGCTATAAATCATCAGATCTTGGCCAATTTAATATCGATATACCTACCGAGATGAAATGGTCAATGTTTGATTCCCTTTGCTATAATCCGATCCTCGGTTTCGTCAAGGCCTCCATGATTCTCCTATATCTTCGAATAGGGGGAATAAGACCTAGAGTTCGATATGCTTCATATGCACTCTTATGCATCAATTTCACCCTTATGATCGCCATCTTCTTTGTCGATATGTTTCAATGTATACCGTTCTCATATAAATTCTACTCGACAGAGATGGATTTGAGGGCTCAGATTAAAGTAGATGCCACAGATCCGGGAATCGGACCTTATGGGCCTGTAGCATCTGGGTTCAAAGATGGGAAATATATAACGGGAGGGAAATGCATCAATAGTGTCATTTTTCTATTTTCAACTGCTGGTTTGACTATTTTGACAGACCTATTGGTTCTATGCATTCCAATCTATATGGTGAAGGATCTCAAATTGAATCCTCGGAAAAAGGCTGCAGCAATCTTCATTTTGTGCATGGGCTTGGGGTAATGATCATTGTTCCCCTTCTGTGTTCGTCACGAGCTAATACTTCTTTTCAAGTGTTACTGCTATCGGAATCTGTCGTCTTGTTTTCACTTACCGTGCATTCTACCCCGATGTCCCTGACCCAGGATTAAATGTTAACAGCACCATATCTCAAATGGAGACTGGTCTCGCATTGGTTATAGGATGCGTCCCGGATCTTCTGCCTCTTTTTCGCCTACTGATACCTAGATTCTTCAATTTTGCGACCAGACAATCAACTCATCCAGCTCGGTATTCTTACCCTTCAACTTTCGGTTTCAAAAGGAAGCCAGAAAGCCAAAGCGACATTCTCAAAAACACCATTTACGAAGAACATGGATTAGACGTTTTAAAGTTACGTCCCAACAACGGATTGGTAGAACGTGAAACGCAGGTCAGAGGTGCTGCGAGTACCGATAGCTTGACTGGTAGTCAAATAGAAATGTTCGACAAAACTATGGACGACAAGACGGAGTCAAAGACAATTATAAAGACAACTCATTTCTCAATGAAAGAGTCGGACCTAAATGATCCAAGGAATACTTGGAGTAATGTCTGAGTTAGTCAATAAAATCGCTCTTGAACTTCTTTGTTTTGGCTCGTTGGCTATGAATTCGAAAGGGCATTTAGCCTGTATATTTTAGAGCCTGCGAGAAATCATCGCGCCGAAGTTTTTGTGCATTTTGTATGCCATAAATGTCATGACTCGTGTCTTTCTATACTTGATCACATTGCATGGTTGTATGGCAATATATCTTTCCATATTGTATCAATGTTATACAATCATGTAATTTTAAGGTCTTTTGATACTGAGGGGGGCGTTGGGGTCACAAGGAGTTTCCCCCTTTGTCTCTACACCCCCAGACATACGGGCTTCACAACAACATGTGCAGTGCACACTATAAAAATTAATAGCCAGGAGCGATTATTTTGACAAGAAATACGGGGAGTGTGCTAGAAGGTTAGAATGTGCTGTCGACTGGCCTCAGAGCGCATGTTGCTTCATCTCATCTGGTTGCATGTATGGAGAAACACTGTAACCACATCTATTTCATTCTTTTGGTGCCTCGAAATTATTATGCGACTACAATCAGCCGCTTCTCTCCTTTCTATTTTTCCTTCCGATCCGAGAGAAAATCCACCAATGGGGGTAATGATCTACAGCATTGCCCCAAAGTTGTGTTGTCAGCTGCGGGGAGCTGTACATAACTGCATTTGAGGCTGGCTTGGCATATATAAAAGAACCAACAATCAGATATTTACCAGACCGACAACTTGGAAAGTTCTTCTGGTGTAATAAAGCTCACGTCTACAGGAAGAACATTTTTAAATGCATTCCGTCATGGAGCAACAAATTCCGTTTGCCAATACTTCTACCCCGCAGTCCGTCTTGGATGGACTCTGAAGGCCCTGGATAATCAAGAGAGATTTGAATCGCAATAACCACGTAAAACTTATAAAATGCATCTGGTCCAGCTTGTGGAAGAAGTTGTCCTGGAAACTCATTTCTGGCAATTGATTAGCTTTTGCATATCCTCTTAACATCTAACTCCGAATTCGAAAAACAGAACCCTCAAATCAGTTGACACAGTCAACGTGTGCATGGTGATATTCCTCGAGAGTTCAATATCTCACTGACTTCTACCATGAAGTTGTTAGAATTCACTGCCGTGATATCTTCATTGGCTGTCCTTGCTCAAGCTGGAAACGACAATGGCCATGAAAAAGCAAAAACCTGCACAATTCCCTCAAAATACAAATCCTCAAATGGGACCGCCGACGACTCACCAGCAGTAGCTGCCGCATTTGTCAAGTGCTCCTCAAATTCAGTTATTGAGTTCAAGAAAGGTGTCGATTACAACATCTTCAGCCCAATCTCCGCAAAGAACTTGTCAAATGTTGTCATTCGTCAAGAAGGCAATCTTCATCTTCCCCAAAACATCACCTATATCCAAAACCTTGTCACAACCTCCAATGCACTTACATATACCACCGCTTTATACTGGTTTGCATTTGCCGGTCCCAAGATTCAGTATGAAGGATCAAAAGACGTTACGACGGGGTGGATAAATTCATATGGCCAAGCATGGTGGGACGCGAATCCCGTCAATGGAACTGGCCTTGCCAATCGACCACATCTTTTTCAACTGAACACTACAAATGGCGGTATGAATTATTTCAAATCACGCAAGCCGATAGCGTGGAATGTTCAACTTCTGGGAAGTAATATCCGAGTCAAAAATAGCATCATTGACTCCTTCTCCTCGGGGACTGGGTTTCCATTCAATACCGATGGATTTGGTGTCACAGCGACAAACGTTCACATTTCTGATTCTATCATATACAATGGAGATGATGCATGTGCTGTTCAATCTGGTTCTCATAACGTTCTTTTTGAGAAGGCAACAATCGGGTATCAATCTCATGGCTTGTCCATCGGCTCGCTTGGACAAAATCAAGCTTCATTCGCCAATGTATCGAACATCCATTTCCGTGATATAACAGTTGTTGATGCGGTCTATGCTGCCCGATTCAAGAGTTGGATTGGAGGTCAAGGAATCGCGAAAAATATCACATGGGAAGATATCCGCGTGTACAATGTTTCATTCCCGATTTTTGTCACTCAGACATACTACAATCAAGGATCTAACGCGACTCAGCTGGAACCTGGACAAATCTCTGGACGCCCGAACAACGCGAGTGTCAATATGGAGGATTTCACATGGAAAAACTTTCGAGGAACAATTAATACCTTTCGGCCTGGAGATGGTACTTGTGTTTCAGACCCGTGCTGGTACGATGCTGGATTGCCAAATTTGCAGCAGACAGAAACTATTATCATCGAGTGCAATACCCAGAGTTCTTGCAAGAACTTCAACTTAGAGAATATTGAGGTCTATCCACAGGATTATAGAAATCCAACGGTGATCTGTATCAATGCTACGAGTACGTTGAATCCGGATCTGGGATTCAATTGTGCCAATGGAACATTTGTTCCTTTCGGTTGAGGTGGGATTTAGAGATGAGAATATGATGGGCTAAGATTTTCTAAGAGATTAAAATTTTCCGTGTACTGGTGTTCCTTATAGTGACTTTGTTTTATTAATGTGAACTCGTTCCCCACAGTCATCTTTCCAAGTGGTTCAAATATGAGCCTCAAAACGGTATTCAATTCTACAAGTCCGCGTTTATTCTGAACGATATCCATGAACCTGTCGAGGAGGTGTAGATATGATGGGCCATCACATATCAATACGGTATATCATGACATTCATGTGATTCACAAGTTCCAACAATGCCATTGGAGCACCTCAACGATTCTTAATACTCGAATAATGAAGCATGTAGGTAGGCAAATGGAGGAGAACCTGATGGAGATGGATTTCCCTCCTGTGATTGAATATCTCCTGTACTCAAATATCTCCCATAAGTGTTCTAGATAGGGCTGAAATCATGCATCGTCAGCATTCCGGTTCGATCGAATGAGCTTTGAGATATATTCCCTGACCCTTAGGAGTCTTAGCTTTTCGATGACTTCACAGAAGAATATATCCAAAACCCCAAACCCCAATTTGGCGTCATCAAGGACAAAAAAGTGGCCTGGAGCGCCAAGATGTTTCAGAGAAAGCAATTGACGAAGACGAAAAAGGAACGAAATTAAAGTTGTTTTTCAAGGGGTTGTGGGGGCCTCTGCTCACTGCTTTTCTTTTTACCCCTTCATTTTCGAGAAAAAGACTTTGGGACCTCGGTGGTAAGAAAGCACAAGGAGAATATGGAAAAAGCGACATTATTTGAATGGCATTGATACAAGAGGACATGAGAAGTATATTTGTTATGTGTGCAAAACGCTATCACCAAACCATACAATTTCACGGCAATTATACATCCCTTAATTTCATACCCTCGAGACTTTCTTTCCCACCTCTTCACGACGTAAGCTTTTACCATCAAGTCAATTGGGAAGCCACAGTTACCAGTGCACCAAATAGATTGCATTTTTCCCAGATGAGGCTTGCCTTCAGATGAATTTGGTAGAAAGGAAATGAAAGGTTTAATATATATAGAGATATACATATATATTGGGTTAATGCCGGCCATGGCTTTACAAGGATTGGGCCAATGGAGGTTCATGCTTATCCGGATGAAACGTTCTGCTCTTCGCATCAAGCGACTAATAATCTAAACTTGATCGACACACTACATAGCACAGCCTTCAACAGTGAGATAAATGAAATGGCGACTTGAGTCCAGAGGTCGACAAGATACTGTTCATGGATATCAGATGGATTTGTAAACGACTGATTCGAAAATTATCCAGCATAACAATGTATGAATTGTTCAATCGGCTGCATGATCGTTGTCGCAGTGCTAAAAATCAAAGCACAGTATCGAATAAGACAATGGTCAGAATTCAACAGCGCGTCTATTTTCTTTTGTTTATTCGCTGGAAGAAATGTGGAGTAGAACCTACGGATCGTATATCTCACACATCTTCGAACGGAAGATCACCGAATCACGGTTGGCAAACGAAACGTTCATCTAAAGATCTTGTTTCTCTGAAACGGACATGGGTATTATTTCGATTCTCCTAGGACTGGCATCATATATCGAATCGATTCATGGTGCGTGCTTTTCAGTTCTATATATTGAGTTGGCTGTCACGATGGTAGCCTTTGCTATTCTTCCTCTTCAAGTCAGTCTTCCTAGTTCGTCGTCTTTATTTTCACTCTCTTAACTTTCTCTATACATTCATTTCAAAGTGTGATCTGTGATCCACGACATTCATTTTCAATTTTTTACATTCATTCCACCATATACCTACACACAAAATTCTATCAAGATGTTCTCCAAATCAATCATCGCCGCTTCCCTCCTCACAGCAGTCACTGCTCATCAAAACTTCCATCAATTCTGGGTCAATGGAGTTTCTCCAGGATATCAAGTCTCCATCCGCATGCCACCTTCCAACTCTCCAGTTCTAGATGTAGCATCCGACAACATTACCTGTAACGTCAATGGAAACGTTGTCCCATCAGGTGTCAAAACAACCGCCGCAAATGAGGGAGATGCCATCACAGTTCAATGGGATTCCTCCACTCATCCAGGACCCATTCAACATTATCTTTTCGGTCCAGTTGATGATGCGTCCATGGCTACTGGTATCGGTTCATGGTTCAAGATTGATGAGTACGTTGAGGTTAACGGTACTTGGGCCTCTAACCTCATGAACGCGGGAAACATGAGCTATACTTTCAAACTTCCTACGGGAATGGCATCTGGTGAATACTTGGTAAGTCTTTCTATCTTGACCCTTTATGCTTCTCCATAACTAACATATCATCACACAGCTCCGTTCGGAGATGCTTGCTCTTCACTCCGCCCAGACTGTCGGAGGTGCTCAATGGTACATTGGATGTGCTCAACTTTCTATCACCGGTACTAGTGGAGACTCATGCGGACCATCCATCGAGCTTCCAGGTGATTACAATGCTACCGACCCAAGTATCTATATCCCAGATATCTATTATGGCTTTGATATTTCCACCTACAAACCTCCCGGAGGAGCTATTGCCAAATGTGGTGCTTCCGGAGCTGGGGCCACAGGTGCAGCCAGCGCTACGGCCGTTGCAACATCTGCTGTTTCCAGTGCGGTTCCATCATCAAGCGCCGCAGCTGTTTCGTCGAGTGCTGTGATTGAATCGAGCTCAGTCGCCTCTTCCGTAGAGGTCTCGTCCAGTGCGGTACTTGCATCAAGCTCCGTAGCCGCCATTGTAACTTCTGCTCCAAGCACTTTCGTAACAGCCACCTCCGCACCAGCAGCCACTAGCTCGGCGGTTGAGGTTGGTGATGATGAGTGTGATGCATAAATTTGACAATATGATATATATCAAGTGGTGGAAATATGTTTGGATTCTTTTGTATATATATCTAGATCTATTCACTGTATACGAATAGACTTGGCACTTGCCATCGTACAAATAGAGACTGATCGAGATTTCAATGTTGAGTGGTTATTACTTATGAAGTGCATTGCCTTACTGTCGAAACTTAGAATGATTCCAAGAAAACATATACAACCCACTTGTGCCGGGCTTGCTCGAGGATGACCGGATTGATGAATGGTGTAAAGAAGCTCGAAGTCAAAAGAATCATCAAATCAAGCATTGAACATATGTATTACACAACTTCATCTTCATTGAATACCCGATCAAAGTAGAATGTTACAGTCTGGCTTCCGTGAATTATATCAAAACCAATGTAAGAAATGCTTTCGTTATTAGAAATGACTTGAGCAAATATAACGACTTCATTCCCGGACGTCAGTACAGACAATCTAAAGCCCCCGCCATGTCTTAAAATGCAGGGATCAGCTCATCTCACTCCTCAGCATGCATCCTTCTCGCAACCTGAACAAGCACCCTCTGCAAATTCATATCGCTTCCCGCCGGCGAAGTTCCCCTCTCATCCAACCCCTTCGCCACATCTACCAAAGTTTTTCCCAAGATCCCACCGATATCCTCCCCCAATCTCGCCATAACTTTATTCCATTCCCTCTTATTCCGCTCGTAGGCGTCAATTATTACCTTGATATTCTCGTCGAGAGTATCTTGACACTCTCGTGCACCATTTGTATTGCCGGCGCGAGTTTCCTTGCGGAACGCACGGAGTAGTTCGCTTGTATGTTGGAGAACGGGTTGGACGATGGCGTGGTGGTCTTTTTCGATTTGTTCGAGCTCGGGGTAGTAGGGAGTTGCTTGGAGGATGAGCACGATTTGTTGGTGAGTTTTATCGGACATTTTGATTTCGAGTGTGTCGTAGCTTTGTAATTTAAGAATCACTCGAGTTTGGCTTTGCTCGATGTTGTTTATTGCTGTTGATGGTCAAGTGACTTGAGGATAAGGAATTCGTGATAGGAAGGATCGATGTACAATGGTTTACTTGATTCACTGATAGCTAGATATTATACCGGCGCTTTGATTGCTGTTGAATAATTCGAAGGATATTGTTGTTCTTGAATCTTAGAACTTCCGATGATAGTAACCTGGGATATTTGCTGAGCTAAAAGCCACAATTGAGCCCTTGGTTCTCCAATCATGAAGTTGTATTACCATGCCGAATGCTATGGAAGTGAATTTCTCAGGGATTATTCAAGACATTCACTCGAATTGCTTGCTCCTACCATAATACGAAGTGAATATCTGTATCAAACGTTTCATGTGTGAACGGAACGGCTTCGACTTCAATTCAAGATCGTACTTTCTAATACTCGTGAGAAATCGAAGTAAATCATACATTCTATTATTTCAATAACTACATCATAAACACACATTTTGGAAGCAGGAGCTCTGCATCATGAATTCTGAGAACGCTTCAGATGAAAGCGCCGCTGATCAGGTAATCCAAATCCTTCTTGAACAAAAAGCACATCACAATTTACCACAAGCTGACAGAAATTGTAGGTCGCCACATTGGCTACACCTCAGCAGATGAAAATTTCAACCTCAAGCACTCAACACCATGATAGGAATGACAATGAACAAAATCGTAGCCTAGATGCCATCGATTAGACCGCACATACTGAAGAGGTTGTGGGGAAGGATACCAAAGTCGATATGAGAAATAAAGATGCACCGGTCATTGAGTCCGCTCCGGATACCTTTCAACGATTTCGAAATCTGCCAACAGAATTAAGATTGAGGATATGGAAGTTTGCGGGTTTGCAGCCACGTGTTATTCATGTTACCACCTACAACGATACGTGGCCAGAAAACGTTTATCTCTGTCCGACTATGCCGCAGCAGTGTCCTTTGACAATGACGTGTATGGAATCGCGTGATGTGGTGCTGAAGTTTAAGAAGCCTCTGCAAGGTCTCGTTTTAAGATCGAAAACTTACATTGAGAATTCTGAGCGAAGAGGCCCTTACCAACCTGATACGGAATATGACAGTCGAATTTTTGGCCAAGTCGAAGCCGAAATGCTGTGAAGAGAACAACCAATCATATGTGCCAACCTCGATATCGACGGAATCTGGCCACATACAGGAGAATGTTGGACAGGCATGATTCACCTTTTGGGAGGCGTTTATAGGGATCCTGGGATGAAGCGGATCATAGTACCAAAGAATAAATGCAACTACCCTGCGGAGGTTCTAGGTGTGCCTCGCCTAATTGACGATCGGTCTCTCAGTGTCTATCAATGGGCCATACTCTAAATGCCCAGGAGCTTTATTTCCTCCAGGAGGGTGACGAAGATTTCAGTATCATTGAAGAATGCACTCAGGAATCACATCTATGTGATGGATTTGTGTCAGAAGTATCCCTTGACCAACTAGCATGGGAGGGAATGAGATGCGAGGATCCTTAGAGGACATTCATGAGGCCTACAAGAAAGGCTTTGACGATTCCCGCAACTTTACGATAAGATGTTTTCAACAGGATCTAGTCAAATCAGGTATGATCAACTCTCACCTCTCCAATCACTCCTTGAAGCTCAATGTAACTAACGTGAACTTTCAGGACATCTTGATGACAAAGATCAACGCGAATTACAAAGACTACTGGCCTGGGAACCACCGAAGATTGAGTACATCAAAGAGTCCCAGATCAATGATAGTCTATGATGGAGATAGCAATACACTTAATGCATGAAGTATAGCTGTAGAGTCACTCGAGAGTTATGCTGTCCGATACTTCGGACTGCGAGTTGACAGTGAGAAGCTTCTCGATTATCTAATCTGCTGGAGATAATTGAATCTTTTGAGAAGACGAGTAGGTTGGCCAAATGAACCGATCCCTCTGACCTGTAGGTGGTGATCTCATACTCTGATCTGAAATGGAGCTACTAAGCTATGCCTCCTAATGGAATATTAATCGGAAATTTGAGTCCCTATTGCATAATGTATCTATGTTATTGATATATTTAGATCTTTTTGACCACTCTGTCTCGTACCCATTGATGTACATCCCAGAAACTTTTTCAGGATGTCCAATTAAACAATAAGTTGTAATCATCGAGATTTTCCGAGTTCTTAAAGTCCACACTAGATCATGTAGAAAAATTGGCGAACAAAACAGTTGCAATAAAAATAAAACATAACACAAGAAATGATACTGAGTTAGATGAAATTTACAATGTTACTACATAAATACATATGCGTAGGGGTATCACTTCGTGTCTCGCGCTTATAAAACTTTTTTAAATCTCGAACATTCCTTGTCATCTAACATATCTCAAGTATATATATGTCCTGCGTGATCAGATCAAAATCGAAGGGGGATAATCGGGAATCTGACGTGTATAATGATCTGTATGAGTGGGCACCCTACAACAACCTACTCCGCCCGCGCTCCGTTTACAGCAACTCCAGAACCAATCGCTAAGCCAACGGGATGACCCGTAAACAGCCAACATTTCGTCAACCGATTTGCCTTCGTAACATCTCTCACCATGCCGATCGACGAGCATTGGAAGGGCTCGCGGGTGTATTGTTTTTGCCCCTAAAATAGAATCATGTCAGTATTGCGCAACAAGTCAAGAGCATGAAGCCGAATACTAACCAGGATGATATCGGCAAGGCCCATCGGCATCTTGAGATTTAATGTTTTTGAAACACTGCCCACATTTACCGCCTTCAAATTTGAGGGATTTTCTCTCCAACCCTAACTCCTCTAAAGTTGGATCAAGCCTCCGCTTCTTCGCCGATGATGATGATGATACTCCAGCAACTGATTGGCTTCGAGTTCTTCCATTCAAAAGTTCCTCATCCACCTCTGCCAACGCTTTCCGTTCCTGCCTTTGTTCTGCTAAAACTTTCCGAGCTAATGGGACCCTTCTCCTTTTCCCATCAAGTCCCTCTCATGAGTTAGAGTCCTCTCCGTAACTTCCCTTAACCTTTTCTCAATCTCGAGCGCTTTCTCCAAATCTTTCGACTTCTTTTTTTCTCTTTCTAGTGCTTCTACGGCAGCATCCTTGACGGCATTCAATGAGGAAGCGCGCGTGTCCACTTCCGTGTATTTCATTTGTTGATCGGCAAATTGGTCCTTGAACCACTGAGATCTAGTCTTTTCCTCTTTCAAAGCTTTTTTCAGATCCACTATCTCCTTGTGGGCGACTTCCACTAAGCCAGTTTGAGGGATATTATACGGCTGAGATACAGGTGTTCCAGTGCTTGATTGAAATCGTCTCTGATGGTCTAATGGATCGTTGAGTCTTTTTGTTTCCTTCCTTTCATCACTCAACTGCTTTTGAACTATCCCAATGTATCTTCTCTCCGTTTGTAAAGCTTGGTCTGCACTATCATTTCTAGGCACCAATTCTGGCGGAGAATTTTGGGCGTTCAAAGCCTTGGCATGAATTTCCCTCATCTGCTGTTGTAAAGTTTCGACCTGATTCCATTCAATTTGATAACTATTTGTGGCATTCCTTATCTCTTCTTCCGCTGTTTTTGAATCTTGCAACAACACCGCAGTTCATTGCCTTTCTATCATCAATGCTTCTTCCAGAGGACTTTCCTTCTGCAAGGTATCCTCATCATCACTCACCAGGTCAATGACCAACCCCTTCCCTGGTATGATTCGTTCCTTTCTCGAGTTAATGGGCATTCCTCTCCGGTCCAGCGACTTCTCATCTACTTTATCATTGTTCCAGAGTCCCTTGGTACTCTATCCCTCCTCTTTCTCCTCTTCGACATATTTGTCACCAAGCAAAAATCTTAGAGTAGTCGTTCGCATGTGCGGATACAAATTTCCGGTAGCTCTAAGCAATGCTTTGAGGGATTTGACATCTGCATCATCGAGAGCAGACTCTAGAGATTGGGATTGAGGAAGTGCTTGTAGCTTTGACTGAGGAGCTGGGGTCGATATTGAAGATTCTAGTCTAGAGGGTATTCGAAGCAATGGAGAGGCATTTGATGGTGTAACGGGAGTCAGTGGGTAAGGGTCCAGAGCAGGCAATTGTGGCTGCGATTGAGTGGAAAATTGAGGAGAGTGTTGGGTATTGCGTCTACCGATCTTAGGCCCAAGTGGTGGTAACTGATGTTGCGTTGAGAATTCATTAGGATTTGAGTATGGTCTGGGGTAAGTTGAGGCTTGCATGGTGGATGTCCACCTTGGTGCCGGTTGAGGAGAATAATGTTGCTGCGAACCAAGATTATCTGAGAATATCGGACTTGGCGAAGGAAAGTTTGACTGCCGTGGAGAGGAATTGACGAGATTTGGAAAACGTGTGTGGAATAACGAGGGATTGATGTGATCTTGATAAGTTACAGGTTGTCTTGCACCATTCAATTGTATGGCCTTTCTTGACATTTGCCTCAAGCAAAAGGTCCCAAGGTCATCAGTGTCTAGGGTGGCTCAAGGGTCGTTTTACTGGAGAAGGTATGACAGAAGAACGGTTCGAGTAGGCGTTGAGGAAGACGCGTTAGCGGGGAATCGCGATTTTCTCGATAAGCTGCTGCTGGGAAGGCGCGTAAACGCTTATCGGCACGTGATTGACCCCCTCTTCACGTATTTTTTTGTCAAGATACCACATCCTACTGTCAATTTCAAGAACCGTAATTTGGATAATCACATCACAGCAAACATGTATCAAGTGCCTGACGGCTCTTCTCGTTGGATGGATCTGATGTTAATTGGCTTACGCAGAGGGTTAACTAGATTTAGAATATATCATATCGTACTTAACATGGTTTATCATCGAGTGGCCTATATCATTGAGTAGCCCACTTTCATCTCAATTTATATCTGTTTCTTTCAATATACATTTTATCAACAACCTATAATGAATTCGAATAATTAAGAAGCTTATATACTCCTTATTATCGAAGCTATTTATAAAGATAAAAAATTAAGTATTCGAAAAACTACTATACTCTATAATATTCCTTATATAACTTTTCAATATAGAATGAAAAATTTACCTCTTTATATAGAAACTCAAACGAATTGTTATAAGATTATAAAATTAGAAGAAGAAATGATTATTCAATATATACTCGATATAGATTTAAAAGGATTTCCATTTAAATTAAAGAATGTGAAAGATATAGTGAATAATATTCTCGAATCGAGAAGTACGAAATGTATTGGGAAGTTTTAAGTGTATTAATTTATAAAATATTGAATCGAATTAAAGACACGTTTTAGTTGTGTTTATGATTTTCAAAGAGCTCTTTACAAGAATCTTAAGCTTTTTAAAGAGTGGTTTCGATTAGTTGCGAATATATAAGCGAAATATAGTATTTTGAACAAAGATTTCTATAATTTCGACGAAACAGGCTTTATAATAAGGATTATATATACAATAATAATAATAACTAGTATTGAACGAAATAACAGAAGTAAAATAGTATAGCCAGATAATCGAGAATGAGCTATAACAATAATATACAAAAATGGAAAGGGTAAAACTATTCCTTTATTTTTATGTTACGACGGGTAACATTGGATCACGTGACGAGTGTCATGTGACAGGACGTTGGAGCCTTTGGAGCTTAGGATCCAAGGAGCCAGGAGCCTTTGGAGCTTAGGATCCAAGGGATCCAAGTAGAACAGAACCATGGGTTTCGTAGAGCAGGAAGGTCTATATAAAGGAATGAGTTTCATTATAATGTAGAGCTTCGTGCTCAAGAACAATCATTAGTTTCATTACTATAGTTACGAGAATTGCAACCAGTTACAACCTTATTGAATTCCTACTTGAAGTCTAGTCTAAACCACCTCGAGAGATCTCTAGACACTTCCACGTGACCCTAGAGGCAGCTCCCGTAACATTTTAGTAGTTTAAGGATAAGTTCATCTCTCTAATTAATACACCGAAACGAATCTTCCTATAGAATAGGCTATTAAATCTATATCTAATAGGTGAACAAATAATAAAACAAATTTAGAATAGTTGAAACACTTCGATAAATATATTAAGAATCGAAGAAAAAGCAAATATCGAATATTAGTACTAAATGGGCATAAAAACCATGAATCAATAGCTTTTCAAATATACTATAAAAAGAATAATATTATATATTTACATTTACTATTATATTTAAGTCATTTAATTCAACCACTTAATGTTGACTGTTTTAGTAATCTAAAATGTTCATATAGTAATCAAATTGATGAATTTATTAAAGCACATATTAATCATATTTCGAAGATTGAATTCTTTATAGTTTTTAAAGTTGTATATAAAGAATCAATTATTTTTTAGAATATAAAATTAGGATTTCGAGGAATAGGTTTAATTCTATTTAATTTTAAAACTGTACTTTCGAAATTAGATATTCAAATTCGTATATTTACCCTTCCCTTTTTCAATTTAGATTAATGAATTTCTTAATCCCTTGTAATCTATTAAAAGCTCTTTTTCAATCAATATTAATTAAATCTTGAATAACTTGTTATCAATTAAGCTTTTTTATATTTATATTCGAAATTATATTAACTTTAGTTAAGAGTATAAAAAGATTAGTTTATGAGAATATACTTTTAAGTATAAAGAATCGTATATTTTGAATAGTAAATAAGGTATTAAGTAAATATCAATATGTAAAAAAAACTTAATTATGTTAAAAAGGAATACTTATTGAATAAAAGACTTTTGATATATTATTTCAATAAAAGGTTGATATTTAAATTCAATACAATGAATATCAAAAAGGAGAGAATTCTAATAAGGAAGTATTTTCTAATTGATGTTGTAGTAAATGTAGAAAGATAGGATATAATATAAAAACCTATTAAAATAATATAATAGATTCTAGATTATTAGATTCTTAATAGTTTTAATCAATTGATTTAATTATTATTGAATAATATGGGTTTGAAAGTGTAAATTGAAGTGAAAGTGGGCTACTCGATGATATGGGCCACTCGATGATAAACCACGTTACTCTAAAAGCTAATTTGAATATACAAATCCGATCAGATTTTATCGAATAATCCACTCTTCTTGATAACGAATACCTGACTTATGTTTGGAAATAAAATAACTTAAAATGATAGATTTTAAATAGTTTTTTTATAAATCAATAATAATTTTATAGGGTGTTTTTTAAAATCTTAAATTTAATTTATGTTTCAATCTATATTTTTAATTAATTTATATAAAAAATAATAGGAAATATACATTAAAAATAATTAGATAAAGTAATTATTATTTTTAGTTATACGAAAAACCTATGAATTTATAAACTTTTATAGATTTTTATAGTTTCAAGCTTTAGTAAATATAATCTAAAGCTTTAATAAATATAGCTTAAAGCTTTAAATATATAAGTCTAAATTTTATAAACTCTTTTTAAGCTAGAATTTAGATTTCAATTTCAATTAAATAAAGTACTATTCTTACATTCGTTTTAATCTATTTGAAGTTATTCTCATATTCGTTTATTTAATTATTCAAATAATAATAGTAAACTTAAAATGTAGTTTGTATATTAAAAATTTAATTTTTCTTTATTTAAAAGTATATACGTAAATATACATTATATATACATTCTATTTTCTTTTATTTTTATAAATTTCATATTGAAATCGATATATAAATAAAAAGACGAAATAAAAAATCCACTTTTTTTTTTAATAAAAAAGCATTATTACAAAATCTATTATAGTAAAAAAAAAGCGGAAAATTCGATGGATTCTAATCGGAATTGACATTCAAAGGAGCCCTAAGATGTGCTGATTTGGCGCTACCACTATCACAATGAATTGAGAAGGCGCCCCTCGCCATATCAAGCTGTCAAGTATCATATCGAATATTGTTGCTAGAAACCAGTTGCTAGACACTGTCATTACGTATTGTCAGTTCAAAAAGTTCAAGACTCTCATCAAGCCTCCTTATCTAGTTCTAATCAGTTCTCTGGTCTCAAAAATGGGGGCAGAAACCACGAATCCGAAGCTAAACGTTGCTATCATCGGCGGCGGTCTTGGTGGACTTGCTCTCAGTATTGGACTCCTTCCTTATCGTGATGCCCTCAATATCACAATTTACGAAGCAGCTCCTAAGTTTGCAGAAATAGGAGCAGGAGTTGCATCTGGTCCTAACGCAGTGAATGCCCTAAATCTGATCTCCCCTGATATCCTTAGAGGTTACAGGAAATGTGCAACGTTTAATGAGACTCGCGATCACGACAACGCATGGTTGACTTTCCGGTATGGAACGGATAGTAGAAATGGTAATGGCAAGAAAATGGACTTGATTCATCATGTGGGAGAGGAAGGAAAGCCTCTGGGAGATATTTCGAAAATGCTGATAAGAGAGGATATTAGAAGGAGAAGTTGTGTGCATAGGGCTAGGTTCTTAGATGAAATGGCAGCTTTGATTCCGGACGGGATGGCGAAATTCAATAAAAGTCTAGTGAGCGTTGAAGACCCGGAGGAAGACGACGAAGGATTGAAGTTGACGTTTGAAGATGGTGAAACTGTTCTTGCTGATGTAGTGATTGGCTGTGATGGAATCAAGAGTGTCACGAGGAAGTTCGTCATGAGAAACGAATTAATCGAACCGGAGTTTTCAAACACCTACGCGTATCGAGCTATGGTTCCCAGAGATGTTGCTAGGGAAGCAGTAGGAGATGTCTTAGCACTAAATGGCCAATCATACCTTGGATACGATGGATATATGATTAGTTACCCAGTTGAGCATGGGAACTTGATCAACCTCGTCGCATTGAAGACAACGAAAGATGTAGAATGGGACAAGGAAAATTGGTTGATGCCTGCTGCTAAAGAAGAGATGGCGTCCGATTTAGAAGGCTACGAAGAAAAGCTGGTTGGGTTGGTCTCGAGATACTGTACAGGAGATAAGTGGGGGCTCTTCCACCTTCCACATTCTCAGAGATATTTTCGCGGAAGGATATGTCTTATGGGAGATGCTGCTCATGCAAGTACACCCCACTTAGGAGCTGGCTCTGGTATGGCATTCGAAGATGCATATATCTTGAGTCGTCTTTGTGAAGGTGTCAATAATAGGCGTGATATTCAAAAAGCACTCGAAGCTTATGATTCGGTGAGGAGACCGAGGTCGCAAAAGCTACTCGAGTTTAGTAAGAAAGCGGGAGAACTCATTTCGTTCACACATGATGACTTTGGAGATGATGTGAGAAAGATAGCTGACGAGATGGATTTGTTGTATGAATGGGTTTGGACATATGATCTTGAAGGGAGTTTGGTAGAGGCAAAACAGCTTTCCGGTTTGTTCTAGTCTCTTCTTTAACGATTGTGGATTATTGAGAGACTGTATCGGGCAGGTAGAGGGGTAGCGTGCGTCTTTTTGTGTCGGAGGCTGCCATCTGTTGAAGAGATCATTC